TTAATTAGGTAGATATTAGGGGAGGTTAAAAATCTTATGATAATCATTTATATTTTATTTATTAATTTACGAATAATTTTTTATTATAAAATTTAAACTATAATTTATAATTTTATACATTTGCAGTCACATGTTCTTCTATGTTTTCTATCTTCTTATCTTTTTGTTTGGTATTTTCTCGTATTTTTCAAAAGAATAATATTATTCAAGTTTCACTTTTTTAATATGAATGTATGCACTTTGAAAGATTATATTAATTATGGGGATAACGTCCACTTTTAAAATTACATTAATCGGAATAAAATTATTTCTAAGATAATAAATTGCATATGACACAATAATTATGTTACCATTTTATTTATTATTATTTACTTGTTAACTCTAACACTGTCATTTTACGATAATATTTTTAGCTAACGGTTTATATTTATATTTGAGAGTATTCGGATTTATGTTTACCAATTATAAATGTTAAAAGTGAGAAAAAAACCCATATGTGCCAGGGCCAAGCCATGAAGTAAACTCCTCAAGGCTTGATTAATACAAGTGAGTGCACTCACAAAATTCTGTAATTTTGTCTTTGAATTGTTAATACACACAAGTTAATTATGTTTTGCAAGTTGAAATGTCCTCCATTGTCCGGATTTAGGACCCTGTACGCTAAACCCCGACTTCACCCTCCCTCCTCTATAGTCATACAGAATTTCGATTATTTTAGACACTAATCGAATCAGACATCAAATGAGCAGTAAATTTGAAGATTTTTGTTACCTACTTTTACATTGTAGTATCCTTTGTACCTAAAAAAATGAGGCAAATGTATTTTGTGAAGAGAAAATTCACACGAATCGCTGAGAGCTGTAAATGTGACCTTAGAATAAGTCATCACGTCACACTCCCATGCGTGACCTTATATGTAAGGTTGAAAGGAGGAGGGAAGTGTGGAAGCATATTTATCACATATCATGTGTTATTTCCCAAGTTTGCTTTTGAACTCAAGAAAAATCCATGCCCTCCATCCAAAAATATGGGATCAGCTGATAGATGATTAATGTCAAAATTCAACTCTAAAGTATTAAGATTTGTAGTTAAATATTGTCTTCTTTTATTGTATTATTTTTTTAGTTTGTTTCTTTATGTTTATAAGGTAATCTCGAAGAAAAAATTGGTCTGATTTATTTCTAAAAAAATCTTTTAAAACTTGACGTCGAACAATTATGAAATTCGAATCCCAATATCGGTTGTGGAGGAGTATTGAATTTGATGAAATATTGAAATGGTGACAGCTTCAGAAAACCAATTCATATGATCTGTTTTTCTCTTGCCTTGTAAGCATAGATGTATAGTGAAAGAAACCAGTTGTGCACCACAAGAACGTGGCTGAAAAAAATCAAAATCAATCTTCTTTTTAATTGTCTATCTATTCTTTTCCCATGGACTTCATTGGGTCGACCACCAAACTTTTTTATAAATTAGTTCAGACCAACCAACTTTCCAATTTGAAAAACAGTAATATTAATATATATATATTTCTCTTGGAATTTTTTGTTATGATTCTCGGTTAATCTTTTTATGTATGAACCATGAATCGATCTGTATGTCAGTGGTCCCTGATTGTCCTTGTATCTTCATCTATTTCAAGTACTAAATTCGATCTCTTGAGAGCCACATCATGTTTTCTGGTGTATTTTCCCACATCGAAACCGGGTATCAAACACATAACATGGTCGGAATGGCTGTAGACTATATTCGTATCCGATATTCACTCGAGTAACATGAGTTGAAAGTTACTAAATGGACCCTCATGGAAGAGTAGTCTCAATAAATTGATTATCAATATAACATCAATTACATCCGCGATTCCCATAAAAATTTCAACTTGTGCCTCGAACCTCCTCTTGGACCTCTGGTGCTCTGATTTATGCAGTAATTACTGTAAACGTTGTTATTGATATGCCTATATGGGGAACTTAGAGTTCAGTATGAATAATACGATCTCCGTTGCGTTCGGCTAGCTCGGCATTATTTTCGTTATGATCGATGAGAATATAGCCTTTGTCATGGGAATTTAGGCAGTCTGCTGATGGATGAACAATCCCAGTGCCAAAGCCTTGAGCAGAGTTGCAGTAGGTCTCCGCAGTGCCATCCTTCTTCTCTAAGTACATATTGCTGAGGACTATATTGCTACAGGGAGTGGTATCGCTGCATGCGAACTTCATTGCTTCCTTGCTTTTCGTTGTCCCGCTAATGTTCCAGTACATAATCTGGCTTATTTGGACTGCCTATGTCTAAATAATTAAAAAAAACGAGAACAAGAATTCACGTGATCAGTGTTCTCATTGACTGAGAGAGTCCTGCAAGAAGCGGGATGCAAATTAGATATGACAGATAAGAACTTGGATAATGCACCTGGTTTTGGCAGGTTTTCGGTGAATCGCAGCAGAATTGATCAATAATGATGGGGTTCTCAACATCTTCCATCCTCACATTTTCGAAACGCACCCCACGTACATAACTGGAACCACCTTTTATATAAAAATCACAAGAAAATACATGTCATTCTCAAATAAATGGATCTGAGTGGCTCGAAATGCAACTCCATATTCAATTTTTTTGAGAAAAAGAGGAAAAAAGAACATACCTGCCAAGTTTTAATCCTGACACCATTTTTAGTCTCCCTGAGTAATGCTGTATCCAAGACCACCTTTGTGACAATGGCATTTGAGTTATCCTTTCTGAGGCTTCCAATGCTAAGTTTCCGAATTTAGCATCAAAGATAAAATATTAAAAAAGAAGAACTAAAGCATACAACAATCAGTTTGCACCGTAGGGGATGGAATGGTAACAAAAATCGTCTCTCCTGAGTAGATTAGAGAAAAATCCATTATTTATAGCTAACACAAGGTTTGGAACACACCTGACACCGTGTCCTGGTCCACAATATATTCTCTTCATCTTGATAGCAGATGAACCGTTAACAATGGAGATGCAATCATCCCCTGAATTTCATATATACACATTCAGCATAATAAACCAGTCAATATGCAGGCATGCAATAGTTCGTATATTCATTTCTATAATGTATTCTTTCGAGCTTCACTTAGGGTTTGTTATGCTCTTCACAACAAAACCATGCAACGAAAGACGAAAGACAAGGTTTAACAACCTGTTCCTATTTTGGAGTCTTGAAGAATGACATTAGTTGATCCAGTGATGTGGATCCCATCAGTGTTTGGACTGTCTCCTGGACAGGAGACTTGTACTTCAAATACTCGAACCGAATCACACCTGGAAATGACGAAATTCATCTGTTGGCTGTTCTGAATAGTAAGACCTTTTACCTTAATAAATGAGCTTGAATCTATAGTCAGTGCCTGCAACAAACTCATATGTTAAATCTAATTTGAGATACATTTGATAGTTCATATACAAAAATTGGGCATGCTGCTTATTGGAAGCATGATTAGCATAATTGTGGAGAAGGATCCTTACGGTTGGTGCCCCTCTGCAAGGCTGCCAAAGTAAAAGTAAACAGAAGAAAAAAAAACATGTGAATCTTCTATTTGTTTGATTTGTAACTTAATGGGAAATTTTGTGGAGAGAATACTAAGGAGTTACATTTGACTTGTTCTTTTTGCATGAAGTTGCCCACCATTTGCTGCCGGAGCCATCAATAACTCCATTTCCTTGGAAAACTACTCCCTTCTGCTTAGAAAAATCAAGCCAGAGTCGTGAAAGATTCGGGTCCCAGTCATTAGGTTCATCTGGTGCTACTATTGTTCCATCAATCTGAATAATATCAATAATGATTAATATAATAAGTAGAAAAAGCTACTGCAACTAAGGTTAAAATTAATGTCAATGTAAAATTAATATTTGCAATTAATTAATCTGTAAGATAATTGAGATGTTATTTCCATTTTGATGTACTGTATTACCTGAACAACCAACCTATCTGCACATGGCCCCTGAAACTTCGTAGCATTAACTATGTAGCGGCGTCCAGGAGGAACCAAGAAGGCTGATTTTGGAGTAGAACATGATGTGTTCCATGCTTTTTTAAAAGCCTATGATGAAAATATTGAACAAAGACAAAATTCTAATGTATCAAATCAGAAATTAGCTTATTTTTATGACAAGGAAAACATATTTTGTCCAACAGTAATGCACAAAACATTTAAATTTCCAGATCAGATCAAATGCTTAAGTTGGTCAAAAAATAATATTTACAGCTAACTATCTACTTATCTTTAAGAAGGATCATGTCTCAAAATACAATGGAAACAGAGTGCTGATTACTGCCGAGTAGTCTTTACCAGTAGAACCTGTTATCTTGACGTATCTTAAAAGAACCATCAAGGTAAATTGCAAGGGATTAAAAAGAAATTCTCAAGCATATACTTCGGTGTCATCAGAAACTCCATCTCCAACTGCACCAAAGCTATCCACATTCACAAGAACCTTGCCACCGCGTTCACTTATCCAAAATGGGTCTTCAACAAGCTCTTCAAGTATGTTAAAGTTGTCATATAGCATGTTTCCAGCAACTGCATATGCTGTTATCAGCAAACCAAGGAAGGAAACCAGGAACAATTTATCCATGGTTCTTTTCTGTTTATTTGGGAGATTGATTTGAGTTGTATAAATCCAATAAGACACAGATTTGATTTATATATGCAGATTAGTTTTGAAAAAGAACAGCTTTGTGGGCTACATGGCTTAGCTTAAATGTAGATGAAGGTGCTACATTTTCTACATGCCCACACTTGAAGTACAAGGTTAAATGTATTTTTAAGTTGTTTGCTTTACTCTTCAACCAGTAGGCAACAATTGACCAATCAAAATGCCCATGGATCATGTATAATCTCTCCATGGAAGTGGATAAATGAATCAACAAAAGGAGGTATATAATATATATATATTCGGTAAACTCAATTTTTTAAATTGCAACATGAAAAAACACCATGCATGCATGCATGGATAACCTGTGGGGCAATAAATACCTTAAAAAGGAATTTGAATGAGCAAATAGGGGGAAACAGGTCCTTTTACAGTTACAAGCCAAGGGCTTCTAGCTAAAGCAACTGCTCTTTAGAGGATTTAAGCAGAAGATGAAGATTTCGCAAACAGATTTCAGCTCATGGAAATAAAGGTGGAACAGATCATCAAGCATTTTTCTTAAGATTCCATTAACAGGTTTCGGTTTCAAGTTTTATCTGTATAAGAAATGGATGTTAACGGTAAGTCTTCACCTCAATCGAACTGTGACCTATCTCCCTCATCAACTTTCTAGCCATAGCAAGTTCTCTAATTTGTAACGAGGCTTCAAATTCCCCAACTTCAGAATAAAAATTTGACACTTGCAAATAAATAGCAAAATCTTCCTGACCAAGTTCCATCAAGACCTTTGCCACTCTTTTACCCACTATTTCATTCTTGTGGACCCTACAACTCCGCAGCAATGAGCACCACATTACAGAATCACCCCCTCCTGGTGCCTGTTGCAATAACTCCACAGCTTCACTCACCAGACCTGCACGGCCTAAAAGATCTATCATACACGAAAAATGCTGCCGTTCTGGGAAAATGCCATAAGATTTCATTAAGTTAAACACGAACTTTCCTTCTTCAACCAATCCTGCATGGTTGCACCCATTTAAAACACATAAGAATGTCACCTTATCAGGTACTAAGCCCTTCCGGATCATTGCTTCCAACAGACGGACACTTTCACTGCCCAAACCATGACGGGCATATCCGTTGATTATAGATGCGAAGCAGAAAATGTTTGGCGAATGAAGTAATTCGAAAACATTGCGGGAGAGTTCAAATTGCCCACATCTTGAGTACACATCAATAAGAGAACATGAAACTGCGACATCAGATTCATAACCGAATTTTATAGCACAACAGTGCAATAGTCTGCAGCTGTCCAAACTCACCCAAGTAGACAGCGACAATGCTTTTAGTGTCGAAGAAAGAGTAATCTCATCAATCTTAATTCCTTCATCAACCATCAAACCAAACATCTCGAACACTTCATCAGTTATACCACAATGCAACAAGGAGGTTATTAATGAGTTACAGCACTCCAAAGTTCTCTTAGAAGCACTCCAATATATAGACAGGGAGCTTTCAATGTCGCCACATTTCCCATACATGTCAATTAACGCTGACTGAATATGAACACTCCCTGAATCAATACCTACTTTCGTTATAAAACAGTGGATTTGCCTCCCTAACAGAATATCCCTTCTTCTACTGGATAAACTCAAGAACCCCAAAAAGGAACGAATCGAAGGTTGTTTATCCCAGAAATGCATCCTACTAAATAACTCAATAGCATCACACAACAGATCGTTTTCTGCATATACAGAAATGATAGAGTTCCATGATATCACGTCTTCAATCGGAATTAACAAAAACGCTTTCCTAGCATCTACGAAATTCCCACAAGTAGAATAAAAGTCCACCAAAGCATTGACAACAAAATCATTGCATTCCACCCATCCAGCCTTAAGCACATGACAATGCAGCTGCTTTCCTTCATCAAGAAACCTCCCATTACAACAAGCTCGAATCAAATAACAAAAACTAAGTCCATTTGGCTCGACACCCTCCCATTTCATTTGGCCGTGCAACTCAAATAACTCCTCTAGTTTACCAAGTTCCAAAAACCCGTTTAACATCAAATTCCATACAGGTAAATTTCGTTCAGGCAATTGATCGAACAACTTCCAAACCACACCAACAAGTCCCATACGAAGATAAAGATTGACAAGTGAGCTCCCAATAAACAAATTGAATCCAAACCCAAGTGAAATCACCCTGCAATGTACTTGAATACCTTCTGTATAAAATCCCTCATTCCCACAAACAGTAATCACAGAAGAAAACGTGGGTCCAGTTTCTTTGATTTCACGTGATACCATTTCCTTATAAAGATACAGTGCTTGCTTTGGATTCCCATATCGACCGTGCCCAGAAATCAGCAAGTTATATGTAATGCTATCTCTTATAGACATTTGATCGAAAAAGTTTTGGGCATCGTCGATACGCCTGCCTTTGATTAATTCGTTAATTCTTTCATTATTGCAGTAAACACCCAGGTGAGGGTTTGGATCACAGTAGGATGCAAAGGTCTTGTAATTAGGTGGTGCTAAGATTGTCAACGTACGGACTGCTGATAAAAATCTACTACTAGGCCGCATTGATCGTGTAGCATTTCGATCACGTTGCCATGGACACAAAATATTTTGCAGGTACCCACCAGATAAGAACCAGAATCTATGGACAGTGGCTACCCCTCGGGCCGGGCTATTTTTCTCTCCGCCAAACTCGACCCAATTTATATATATATTGAGAGAGAACACGAAAATAGATGGACTGGCCGAACATACTTATCAAATTTCACATTATTTATAGGATAAATTACACGTTTAATACATAAATTATCACTTGTATTCCGTTTTAATACCTAAACTTTAATTTTTTTTTCAAAACTATACTTACCATTTAGTTTATATTTCAATTTGATATCTTGTCGTCAAAAACTTAACAACAACAATGACATGGAATTATTTTCCCTTTTCTTTTGATATTTCACGCATCTTATAATGTAAATTACATGTCAACGATGTCGTTAAGGTTTTAATGGTGGAGTATCAAATTGAAATATAAACTAAACATTATTTATGATTTAAAAAAAATTAAACTAAAATAGAACAAAAGTGATAGTTTAGGTACAAATATATAGTTTACCCTTATTTATATATAGATTTCCCTTAAAAGTTTAAATATAATATTTTAAATATTTATTTATTGAAGATAGAAGATAAGATTAAGAGACGCACACCGTTGCCATCCAAGTAACTCGTACGTGTCTTCGGTACACATCGTGTACGTTTATTTTTTTGTTGATAAAATTAGTATAATTTTACATTTTTTGTCCATATTTTTCATTTTCTTTCATTTTAACTCAACATTTAAAGTTTTGAACGATTTTTGTCATGTCAGCAGATTGCACATCCTGTAGGGCATACATTCCAGAGGATGTGTTTTACGTAACACGGTGCGTGCGTTTGTTCTTTTTTGATAAAATTTATATAATTTTTACATGTTTTTAGCATCTATTTTCCCTTTTATTTCCTTTTAGCTTAATTTTTAAAGTTCTGAGCGACTTTTGTCACGTCAGTAAAGACGAGTCTATATACCATACTTTTTAAAAGACGTTTTCCATGAAATACATTTTTATCTTATGTGGTAAAAAATGTCAATTCGAAAAATAATATAAAACTAAGTGTTAATTTTCTGTATATATTTGAGTTAAAAAAACCAAGACATTCTTGGATTTCTATGTACCCGATTTTGGGTTCCAATCTTTAAGGTTCAAATGCAACTATTTTCATTGCAGATATCCCACTTGACAGATACAATTCCTAAAATACAAAGGTGAAGCAATGGCAAAGGATGTTCCCAACTCTCATCATTGTGTAGTTTAAGATAACAGAATTAACGTAAATATGAGAATAATCATATCATTTTGCCAGAAAGCTTCCGGTCGAAAATCGGGGTATGCCGTTATATCGCAGAATTAACGTATATCGCTTGATACTAGCAGGTTGATGCAATGGCCGCCAAAACTGTAGCTATAAATTGCATCTGTGACTCTTCGTTGATTCTCGAGAAGAGGGGAACGTGAACGAATAGAGATTTGTGACCCTTCTGTTCGGCAAAGCGGAGAGAGTGATAGTAGACATAGTTGCATACGAAAAGGCCAGCGTCGTTGGATATCGTCGCATCATACCCCTTTTTCTGTAAGAACTTGAGAATCGCTTCAATGGAACAAGTCGTCTTCAAGAACCAAAAGATTCACCAAGTTAAACACAGTTTCCGAAAGACAAGAAAAGCAAACAAACTAATTGAAATTTAGGGATGCATGACTAGTTACGGATAGGCATCGATGGTGTCGGTAACACCAGGTGACCGTAGGCACGAGATAGGCTTCTTTGATGTAGTGGTGTGTAAAACATAAGAAATCTAAATGTACAGGAAGATCACAAAGTACCTCTCGTTTCCGCGAAATTCCTCCGTCGTCGGCAACAATGGGTTGTTGCCGCAGACATCAAAGGGAAATAATAAACACATGGATATAGATACTAATAGAATAATAGAGATTTTCTTAAGAACAAAAGAAGTGCATCCACCATAGGTTGCCATCCTAGCTCATCGGGACAAACGAAAGTAGCTTCGTTTACAGCCTGCTGTTCAAGGGCGAATTTCCGTGCTCCGCTGTCGACTCCCAAGTGAAGCTAAAGAAACAATAAAATTGAGGTCCATTAGATCAACAGATGTTTCATAGAACGCATGAAAGTTGACACTATCAATATTCAATAGCACGTACTCCGCATAATTCCTCTATAAATATATTTCCCCGGCCAGAGTTATTGGACGGTTATGGATGATAAACCATTTTTGATTAGCTGCAAAGAGCATTCAAAGCAAAACACAATGGAAAAGGATTAATGGAGACGACTGGACGTATCTTGTTCTAGTTTAATGCAAAAACCGAGAATCGACAAGCTGTCAATGGAATCAACATCACTAAACAACTTTAAAAATGTGAATTTCAGAAAGTTTCCATTTCTAAACAGCTAAATGAGCAAGATATGAGTAAATCTAAAGATATATAACAGAAATTGACCCATATCACATTTTTCTTTTTGTTGCCATTCCCTGAGGTGCCTGATTCCAGGACATTGTAAAGCTCCGGAAGAGCACCATCGCCTGCAGTCTCAAGAACGGTGCAACTCCCTAACGTAACACCGGGAGGCAACAACCTTTTACTCTGAACGAAACTCATCAGGTTATTAACTATAGTTTCCGTCGGATTTTCGGCAACTCCTCGGAACTTTTTAAATCCGGTTATGTGGATATTTACCTCCTTTCGTCCTCTAGACCCCATCTTGTCTTCGGCACAGATGCAATTCCCAATTCTCAGTAAACACTATCTGCAACGCCTGTCTATTTGCCGATCCCCAACGCCTGTGGAACACCAAACACAATAAAAAGCAAAATCTTACATCAGTAACAAGAATGTTACATCAATGGTCTTAAAAACCAGCAACAAGAAGAATCTAGCATTGGCCCCTTTAAAAAGGTCTTAAAAAGAAATTACAAGAATATGTCCTAAAGTATGCAATGAACCACTAAATATTCGGTCAAATAGAATCAAAACCCCCGTCTGAACACTACAAGAACAGAATCAAACACAAGTGGTCAAATTGAAAGACAGAAATAATGATTCCAAGTCCATTTAAGGAAAAGTAAATGTTCAATCAAAAACAGGACTTTAATGGAACAATGATTGTGTTGTTCCATATCACAATTTGACTAAAAAGTCAAACATAAACAGACTGAAAACTAATTGGTTTAAATCAATCAACCCACACTAATAAAACAATTACACAAGCGCAAAAACACCAGAATGTATTATCCAGAGTTTGGGATAATGATTCAAAGATGCAGAAGTTGAAGACAATCGAACATAAAATGTACCTGGTAATAGAAACAAGGTTTTGTCTCAGCTTCAAGTACTCCTTTGAATGAAACTGTCTCGAGCGTTTGACTAGATATGCAAAATGTATAACGCAATTTCCACGATCCTCGAATTTTTCTATTCCCTAAGGTTAGATGTTGAAGCAAACCCAGATACAGACACAACTCTGAACAGTGTTCCCCCCCGATACAGACAACTTTTGACAAATTGACCCTGAATTTAGCTTTCGTCAGCCTGGACCCTTAATTTTTTAATTATAATTGGATTAAATATTAATTTGATAAAAAAGAATTAGCATGATTAGTTTGACCCATCAATTATTTTATTTTAAATTTTAAAATAAAAGACAAATAACAGTAGCAAACACATTGAAGTCCTTATTAAAGTAAATTATTTAAATTAATCAACAATTAACTAATCTAATATGATGAGACACTAAATTCCTCAATCAAGGCCAAGAGTTCAAATCCTAATGCTTACTAATGGAACAAATTGAATTGGAAATGTCACCCCATATTAAACCTATGCAGTACCCAAATATTTAAAGTAGTTATCGAAAATGTTAACAAGGCATATTATAGCTACGCCACTCTTTTTATTAACAATTCAATCTAATTAAAAAGAAAAACAATTCAATAGAGAGTGACTAAAATAGAATGAAACGAATTCCATTAGTGATAAAAATGAAAAATTTTATAGTACAGTGATAAAACCTGGAACACGCTAATGTTGGAATTTACCCATTATTTTTTAGATCCATTTATACCTATTCAAACCCTCCAAGCATCGTGTGTGCTTTGGAGATTTGTACGGAAATCCCGCCATCGATGAGGTCTATTTTAGATCAACATAACAAATCCCTGTTAAAACTTAGTAGGGAAGAAGAAGAGAGCAAGCAAAGGAAATAAAGCTTTAAACCAACACCAAAGAGAAGACGAGCAAGATGATAATCCCAGTTCGTTGCTTCACATGTGGGAAGGTGTTTTCCCCTACTTCTTTCTTAAGTGGATATAGGTTTTTTTTTTTGGGTGAATTTGTAGCGCTTAAATTGTTTATTTGGATTTGGGTATTTGCAGGTTATAGGTAACAAATGGGACACCTACCTTGATCTTCTCCAGGCCGACTATACTGAAGGGTTTCCAACGATCTTCCTTTCTCTTATTTAATTTTTTTTCAACTGCATTGTTGCCATGAATATTCTGTTGTGTTTTCTCTTTTAAGTTGGGTGGATTTTTCTTTTCTTTTTGTTGTTGTTGCTTGATGAATATCTTTCTGGTGAAATAGCCGATAAGCTATCGATTGATGTTCATTCTATTGAATGGCACTCAATAATCTTTTTGATCCGGAAAATCTGATCTGAAATAAGATCAAATATGGATGGTTAAACCAAAAATATAAATCTTTTTCGATGAAATAGAGGTTACAACAAGGGACAGCTGAAATTACAAAATTTCATAATGCGTGGAATTAAATATTAATAGAAAATATTAAAAAAATCTAAATTACACGGGAATTTAAATTTTTCAGAGTATGATTGCACTCCTTCGGTCCATCCTTAGCTACAACTTCTGCAAGTTTAAATACCAACTTTCCACCTTGTACAAAACAAATGGTGAAAACTCTGGACTCGTATCATCAATTACAAGTTACTTCTCCTAGTGGAACGATTCATGTTGTAGAGAGTAGCCTTTGAGCTTAACTGACAACCCTTCTCCAAGTTTTCTTTCAACCATTAATCTTAGCTTTTATCAGTTTTCCACATTGTACCCGGTTATGCCAACTGACCCGGCTGGAATAAATACATGCATTTGATGCCCCTATTTACCTTTAAAGGGGTTGGGATTCTTGGTAGATGTGATAAAGAAGCATTCTATATTGCCACATTTTTCTTGCATAAATGTCTAGAACTAGACAATTACCCTTGTTTTCTATTCTGTCTGATTGGATGTTGTAGTGATTTGTGTGATCCAAAGCATGCACGATTAGGAACATTTTGAGGCGTGAGCGGAGTCATAAAAAAGGAGGGTGCTTGAAATATTCATTGTAGAATCAACACTGTTGAAAATTCGAGGGTGGATATGGTATGCTCGAGTGCTGGAGTTGGAGAGATATATTTGTAAAACAGGAAATGCTTTAGCAAAGGCCAGTTACATCCTAATTACATTTTTATTCTTAATTTAAATGGTATTAGTTGAGAATCCATTGAGTGATTTTAGTGGTAAAAAAGATCGTTGTTCTCACTAAAAGACCCGGGTTTGAACATAACAGATACTACATTGTAATCAATTTAGGAACCCCATTTCTACACCCACGTGGAGTATAGACACGTGTATCCAAGACATGCATTTGATAAAAATTGCGTTGCCAATTTGTGTGATTGTTTGGCATGCAGCGATGCTCTTGATGCTTTGGGATTGGTTCGATATTGTTGTAGGAGAATGCTTATGACTCATGTTGATCTCATTGAGAAGCTTCTGAACTACAACTGTAATCTCTCGTCTCTTTGCCCTGCACTCGAGTTTCTCTGCAATTTTTTTTGCGCCGGACTTGTTTGGTAACGGTTTCCGCTGACTCCGAATATTTGTTGCAGCACTGGAGAAGTCCGGGGCCAGTTGAGGAAAGTAGGAAACATGTGGAACTTACCCTGCAATGCCATGTTTCAGTTATGCGTCCGAAAAACAGTCTTCCTCTCAGCAGCATATGGAGGAAAAAAAGAAATAATGATAATAACATGACAATCATTTGTAAATGACACCGTACCTCACCTATTACATGCTTATATGTGAAATATAATTATATTCTAAAATAAAATATTAAAAATTGAAATAAAATTATCAATCATATATTTGAAATTAGTTGTATCCAAAGAAATATCAACAAAGATCAATAATGTGTTTTAATAATAAATTATCTTTTAAACATTGTAATTTAGTCGCTCAATTAAAATATTATTGCAATTAGGTCATTCATCATTAAATATTAGACTAAATAGTGATATGATTTGATTGTAGTCCCCCTAAGCTTATATATTCTATCAATTTAGTCATTATTTTAAACAATTCAATACATTTAACCTTTCATGTTTAAATTTTTTTATCATTTTGATATTTATTCTTCTCTTAAATTACATGTTCTTCTCCCACAGATATTATATCACTTTTCTATAATAATAATAGTTTAACATTAATTTATTAATGTTTTATGACATAATGTAGTTATTTGATTGTTGCTTTGATATAATGGATTCACTTGATTTAAAAGTATCGTAAAAATTACTAAATTGATAAAAAAAAATTAAATAAAAAAAGTTAAACTTATTGATTTGTTTCATATTAGGATCCAATTGATAAAAATATACAAATTTTATGATTAAAATTATTATTATATCAAGTCATGTTATACGTCTATTTCAATTTTAATGGTCAATGACTTGTTTGTAATAGTAATATTTTAATTTAGTGATTAAATTATAAAGTTTAGAAAAACGTGATCCATTTATTACACAACACATAAGTAAATGACCTAGTATGTATTTTACCCAAATATCTATCTATTGTTGAACGACTCTTTGTAATCTACTAAAAAAATCTAGTAGTACAATCTTTTCTGGTTGGTTTTGGCTCGCTCAGCTTCTTCATTGAAAATCCGAAGTGAAGAGAACTTCACTCTCTCTTCAAACTGGAACTGAAGAAAATTCAACATTTTTATTTTCAATGCAAATTCTAGCGTCACTCCCTGGCCTCAATCTCTTCTCTTCCCTTCCTTCAAACCCACGCCAAAACGACACCGCTTCATCCACTCCTTCTCCCTCCCCTCCGATCCCCATCCCCAAATATCCTCCTCCCCGTCCCCGAAATCCCCCTTCCAACCCCGCCCTCTCCTTCCCTCACCGACGCACCAACTACAGGAAACCCGTCAAGAAGGGAGTCATCCAATCCGACGGTGACCGATGCGTTATCGTTGGCGAAAACGGCGTCTCCTACAAGCTTCCCGGCGCTCCTTTCGAGTTCCAGTACAGTTACTCCGAGACCCCCAATGCCGAGCCCATAGCTATCAGGGAGCCGGCTCATTTCCCTTTCGCGCCGCCGACGATGCCGCGGCCTTGGACTGGGAAGGCTCCGTTGAAGAAATCAAAGAAGAAGATCCCGCTTTTCGATTCGTTTAACCCTCCTCCCCCTGATAAAAAGGGCGTGAAATTCGTGGAAATGCCCGGGCCGTTCCCATTCGGGAAGTATCCCAAGGAAGGGAGAACGAGAGAGGAGATATTAGGGGAACCGTTGAAGAAATGGGAGATTAAGATGCTGGTTAAACCTATGTTAGCAGATAACCGTCAGGTTAATCTCGGTGAGTTCTCGATACTATACGTGTTTTTTTAAAAAAGGTGTTTTGATTTGGAGATTAACGTTCTAATTAATTCTGTTTTTTGTGGACTTAGGGAGGGATGGATTGACGCATAACATGCTGGATTTGATACACACGCATTGGAAACGGCGTCGTGTTTGCAAAATTAAGTGCAAAGGAGTTCCCACCGTCGACATGGATAACGTTTGTCGTCATATTGAAGTAAATGCCTCTTTTAACACTCTTTCTGTTTTCAATTGTTTATGTTCCTTCAGAACCATGTTTCCTATTTGTATTTTTGTTCACAGAAGAGCATTGCCCTTTGGGTTTATATGTATACTCGTCTTAGTTTTGATAATAATGTCCGAACTAGCGCTTAGAGTATACTTTTTCAGGATGAAGTAGTAAGTTCGTTTATTTATTTGAATCCGAGATAATATTTCTTGCATACTTTGTTAGAAAAACATTAGTTTTCTGAAGTGTAAGACCCCTTATGAATTGGTTTAGAAGTTGAATCTCTCTTTCTGTGATTTTAGAGAATGCACCCCCACACTTTCTCCTTGAGAATGTAGATTCAGTATATTTTGATTGATTGCGCTGTTGGAAGAGAAACATATTCTGTTAGCCAGTTAGTTTCTTATACCCCCAGATCCAGTATTCACTTCAACAAACAAAGCTCTCAGGAAGTAAGTTGGCATCCGGCATTTGTTACAAGATGTGTTTATATGACTGTAGCTTTTAAGTGCAATATTTATTCAACCTTTTTATGTGTCCTTTTTAAAAAATTGCCTTTTATATTTGAATGGACATTTCACATTTCTTACTCAGGAAAATAGACAAACCTCTTATTTCCTTCTCTCTCAAGTTTACTCTTAACGTCAGGAAAAAACTGGGGGGAAAATCATTCACCGAGTCGGTGGTGTTGTTTATCTTTTCCGGGGACGAAACTACAACTATCGTACTCGTCCACAGTACCCAGTGATGCTTTGGAAACCAGCTACTCCAGTCTATCCAAAACTTATCCAAGAAGCTCCAGAAGGATTGACAAAAGCTGAAGCGGATCAGTTTCGGAAGAAAGGGAAATCACTTTTGCCCATATGTAAATTAGGTAATTGATTCAATCATGGTTTGCATTGTTGGCAATCTTGTGCATTTGTTGCTTGGTTTCTAGGGAGATTTTACCATATGCATTTGCCTTTTCCAGAAGTTAGTAACCTTTTTTTTGTTAATGTTGCAGCAAAAAATGGTGTGTATGCTTCCCTAGTGAAAGATGTTAGAGATGCTTTTGAAGGAAGCCCATTGGTAAAGATCGACTGCAAAGGGATGCATGCAAGTGACTACAAGAAGATAGGTGCTAAACTCAAGGTCTGTAACATTCTTTTGCTATTTCATGGGCTTTATAATTTTCTTTATTTTAATGCCTAAATTGGTTTGAAATTATGGAAGACTTGTTCGAGATTCATTTACCGAAACCAAGAGAATATAAAAACTTGCGGCACTAGTTTAACATTTTTTTAAATGCAAAAATTTGAGATAATAAGGATCTTGAATTCGTTCTTTGGAGGTTTGAGCTCAAATTACTATATTTAATGATAATGGAGGGACTAGTAAGTTAAAAATATAGATTTGCACTTAATTTTTGAATGAGATAATTTATTTTTATGCTAAAACATATGAATGCCACCAAGAACTTTTTCTTAATTGTATCTTCAAGTGTAATACTTATTATGCTTCTTAATTGTCCTGATTATTGACTGGCACTTAATACATACTCAAAATAATCGTGTATAAAAACATATGAAATACAAGAAACTATCATAGCCCAATGCAGTATTATCAAACTCAAGAGCCGCTTTAAAAATGTAAAGACCAAACACCCCCATATGTGGTGCTTAGCTGAACATGAGGTGTACAGACAAGATATGAGTTCAGAATAATATCAGTTAATTTTGGCCATTCTACTAATTTCTTTATGGGTTTCCTTATAAATGTGGCCTATCCTTTCTTATTTATCAGGAATTGGTTCCTTGCATTTTGTTATCTTTTGATGATGAACAAATTTTGATGTGGAGGGGACGAGAGTGGAAATCCATGTATGGGGACACTTCAACTTTACTTCCTGCTAAAGCTGACATTTCAGGTGGTATAGATAATTCAGGTATGCATTATAAAGAGTATTAGGGTACCTTGTGTATTGCTTTTTTTTTGAAAAGCATACTGAGATGGATGCCCTGAGGATTGCCCCAGATGATTTTTGTGACTGTTAGAAGTTCCCAAGGGATTCTATTTGTTATTTTGTGGAAAAATTAAGATATTGGGATGAAACATAATTATGTGGTGGGATATGTCATAGGTTTACAAGCAAGGCCTATCACAAACAGTGTCAGGGACCGAATGTTCAATTTGTAAAGAATATTTGTTGCAACTCATTTCTAGCTGTTTTATGATTTATGTATTCCAAATCAAATTCAAGAAAGTTTCTTCTGGCCATTACGAGTCAGGGCAGCATGACTCTAATACCATTCAAGTTATGTAGACAGTTACTTGACCAGATGACTGTTTGGATTCTGGGTAAAGGCTGTAATGTATGAGTATGCAGTCCCAGAATTTGGTAAATCTACAATGGCCTGTATTATATGCATGAGTATTCTGTCAAGAAGAATTTGGAAAAGTTGCTCTTTCCACATATAATATGGGCCATTGCAGCTTTTCCAAGTTCTTGACTGTATAGTCGATTGTCTTCTTAAAATTTGAGATTGATGTGGAGAAGGTGCTAGCCATCTTTTCTAGTTTCCCTGGATAAACTTGCTCGATTGTTATGTTCTGTTGTATTGCTGCTTGTTGCTTTGAAGTTCATTTTTAACAATGCAGATTCGACTTTCAATGACAATTGCTTATGCGTCGCAGCCAAGTCTAACAAGGATAACGGTACACCGGATGTCGCAGCCAAGTCTAACGATGATAGTGGTACACCGGATGCCAAAACGGTTGTATCTAGTCCAAAAATGATGTCCCTCTGGAAGCGTGCAATTGAGTCAAGCAAGGCATTGTTGTTGGAAGAGATTGCTCTGGGCCCAGATGCTCTTCTGGAAAAGGTGGAGGAATTTGAAGGGTTGTCACTGGCCACAGAGCATTCCTGTGAAGCATTAGTCTTGTCCGGTGAAGATGGTTCTTCTGGAAGTTCCTCGGCAGAGTTTGAAGGTGGTTCTTACGGTGAGGATTTTGGTGATGAAAATGATCTTTTCAGCAATGATGACATTGTTGAAGATGAATATTATAATGACGAATCATTTGAAGAGGTTGAAGAGGTCGATTCACTGATACCGCTAGGGTCATTACCTGTTGACAAGATTGCAGAAAGGCTCGGAAGGGAATCGAAAATGAAGTCGAAAAGGACAGATCATTAGCCAAGGTCACTAGGTCAGTCTGCTGATCTGCAATTTATGTAGTTATCTTGTATCTACTGATATTATTTTCACCATTACAAGCTGATTATACATGTCTCTAAAAGGCAAGCTGCATCTCCTATTGCATAGCTGTAGATTAAATGTATATCCCATTTGAGGACTTCAATTTCTCATAAATAAAAAATTTACTGTTTGAAGCATAATATATATTAAATACTGCTAATTATTTTATGTTTTACATGTTATGCTTCATCAGGGAAATGTTACATATCCATGCAGAATTCTACTCTTTTGACGTTAAAATATAATTCAAATGAAAATCAATTAAATTGTGTCGCCAACAAAAAGAGCTGTGGTAAAAATATCAAAAGCGTCTACTTGATGAATATGTTTTTATTTCTTTATTTTAAAAAAGGGACAAATCACTGGCATTTCTATATAGAAGTTAGGCACATAGCTAGGAAAATGGCAGGCCAGTCGGGGGGGGGGGGGGGGGGGAAATTCTTCACGAGCTTCCATCATATTATTTCCTGAATTAGGATCATTGCTACAATGTTTTGGGAAGATATCGAGAATATAATGTTATTTTAACTTTTCCGAGGAAGACGCAAGGATAAATCACTTTATGAGTAGGACGCAGAGATCACAATACGTCTTTCCTATCATTGACCTTTTTTTTACTCTACAAAGCTAAAGACGCATAACAATCCACGTTTCTTTCACCGGAAAATTAAAATCGGTTAGTGTTTCAAGCTTCTTTTCCTTGTCACTATAACAATGACCTTAATTTAAAAAATAATATAGGAAAATCTTTTTTTCTCACTGTCATATCTGGGCGAGAAAGTCGCACTTAGGGCAAGTTCTGTTGTGCGGCGGTTAAAAAACAACGTGACTGGTTAATCAAGTGACCGGTTATGTTATATTATTTAACCGAAAATATTAACAAATACAATAACATATTAGGTAGCGATTATATAATGTAATAGATATCGTTTATATAATAAAATAGATTAATTACTTAATTTGTTATTACAACATATTAGGTAAACGTCTAAAATGTTACCAAGGATAACATAACCGGTTAATTACTGGAAATATTATTAAGCACAATAACATATTAGGTAACGCTTATATAATAAAATAGGTTAATTACTTAATTTGTTATTACAACATATTAGTTAAACGCCTAAAATGTTATCAAGGATAACATAACCGGTTAATTACTGGAAACATTATCAAGCATAATAACATATTAGATAGCGCTTATGTAACATAATAGGTTGCACATTATTAAAGCTGATGGGGCCTTAGAAATCTGAAGATAACAAAATAGGTAATTACTTACTTAATTTGTTATCAATTATGATAAACTTACCTTAGAAATATATGTTAACAAAATTTAAATTACCTATTACATTAAAATACATACTGATTTTTTTTAAGGTTGTTAATAATGTAAACGGTAAAAAAAAATAGGTTCTACCTATTACATTAAAATAGCTACCGGTTTTTTAAGGTTGTTAATAATGTAAAAGGTAAAAAAAATAGCGCTACCTATTATATTAAAATACCTACCGGTTTTTTTGAAGGTTGCTAATAATGTAAACGGTAAAAAAAAATAGGCGCTACTTATTACATTAAACTACCTACCAGATATGTTGAAAGTATCGATTCCATTTAAATAAGTATCGACACTTTTGGAATTTAAAAGAAAAGCAATAATAGCGCCTATAAAATATCGATACTTTATAAAAATGTATCGATACATAACAATATAGCAGGTAAAAATATGAAAAAATCAGTTTTATTATGACAAAACCGGTAAAGAGCTACAGATATGTTAAAAGTATCGATATTTTTTGTACATGTATCAATATTTTACAATATAAAAGGTAAAAATATGACAAATTAGTTTCATTATGACAAAATCGGTAAAAAACTACCGGATATGTTGAAAGTATCGATACTTTATAAAAATGTATCGATACATAACAATATTAAAGTTAAAAATATGACAAAACCAGTTTTATTATGACAAAACCGGTAAAGAGCTACAAGATATGTTGAAAGTATCGATACTTTATAAAAATGTATCGATACTTTACAATATATAGGTAAAAATATGATAAAATCAGTTTCATTATGACAAAACCAGTAAAGAGCTACTGGATATGTTGAAAGTATCGATATTTTATAAAAATGTATCGATACTTTACAATATAACAGGTAAAAATATGACAAAACCAATTTCATTATGACAAAACCGGTAAAGAGCTACCTGATATGTTGAAAGTATCTATACTTTTTGTACATGTATCGATACTTTGTTGAAAGTTATGTAATTTATGTTTCAAAAAATTTTAACAGTGTTTTATGTTTTACACCTACAATATTAATTTAATAATTTCATTTACATAAAAAATTATTTGATTGTTTAGATATTTTATAAAATATTATTTAAAATTTAAATTTAATAATTTTAACCAAATATAATAATAAATATGTAATATCTATGTTTATTATTTTTAATTTAATAATAATAAATAACGTAACATAAAAATAAATCATTAGACGCATATAATTACTAAATTAATATCTTAAAACTCACTCAAAAGATAACCTTAAATTAATTTTTTTTACAGTGAAATAAGTATGGACACTTATATATATGTATCGATACTTATTGATAACCAAAGTTTACCGGTTACCAAAGTTTTTAATAGTTTTTCATGTTTTCTACCTACAACATTATTAGTCTGTCAACATAATAGGTAGCGCTAAACCGAATTTATTAAATATCTTTTAATATATCAAGTAACACCGTATATTAATCGTATATTAATCCGTCTTTCCTGAGACAAACCCGCACTTAGGTGGTAGTTTGGGAGTTAGTTATCAAGGCTAACATTGCATATAAACTTATAATTAATTTCTAATGATGAATGAATGATGAAGGTTTTTTTTTTAAAAAATCTCTATGAATTCTCATTTTTTAAAAGAAAATAGTATTAGAGCTAATTTCAATTAAAATTCTCAAGAGATTATTTTACTGATATTTTTTCTCTAATATTAAATTTCATCTTTTTTGTTTAATATAATATTGGTACATGTTTGACTTTTATTTCGTTATCAATAAAGTATTTAAAATTTTATTACGTTATTATTTTAAGGTAATCCTGTTAATGGCTTTTGAAAATCTCTGTCAACCAATAATTACTTAGCTCTCGTGACGTTAATTTTTAATTAATATTAACATTTTATAATAAAAAAATACACTAACTTTCAAATTTTCTAAAAATCCTATATTTTATAGTTTCCCAAAACCTCCTAAATTCATAAATCTCTAAACTTATAAATCCACTTAAACAGCCAGAGATCCGTTGACGAGCAAGGATTGGGCGGTTCAGTTTTGGTTCGAGCAGTGGTGTAATCTCACTAACAAGAACGAACATGCAATGATTGAGTGAAAAAAAAATGATCTCGTCCGACCGGGTTAACGATTAAGTGTTACAATTATTTTGTTTGGGACGATAACGTGCAAAGATAATGGGACGATCGATCAGTCAGAATCCGGCGATAAAAGGGATGACCGACGGTGGTTGATTCAACAGTGACGTGTGAAATTTAGAGTTTTGGGGTTTACGAATGATTTTGAGTAATTTAAAGATTTCAGGGATTTAAAAGGTGTTAAAAGATGGGCAGAATGGCAGTTAAATACGTAGAAATACCTATTGTTACTCATAGGCTTAGTGTGAAGGATTGTACCCCTCTCATTGATAGAATTACTGCTAGGCTTCATAGCTGCTCTTCTAAGCATGCTGGGAATTTAATAAGTGAATTTTAATCTCCAAAACTACTGATGTGTGGCCCCATGTCACCAAGCTTATATTGTACCCAAAGATGAGTGTTTTCAGGGCTTACAAATATCTCTTGTATCATCTCTTTAATAACAATTAACCGTATATGATCCAAAAATTTAATTATTGTTTTATAATCTTAAAAACTTCGATAGTCTAACGAGAAACTTATAAAACGAGACCAAAATGGAAGAATGTAAATACGGCTTCGTATAGATGGAAACTTCAGTTGTTAGTTGGTCGTAACTACTATTGCACTGTTGTATTTTAGTACTGGTTTACTGTTTTCTTGAATAAATAATACAACACATTTATAAAACCAAAATTATAAAATAGTTTTTTTAGTACTATTATATGTCCTAAATATTTTTTTAAAGTAAAAACTCTAACAAAAGGATAATATATATATACACGTAAGTATATTGAAATATAACTACGAGATCAATGTATACTAAATAAAGTTTACATGGTTTTGACAGTTGTATAAAAATTTTATTTTAACAAATTACGGATAACTACAGGTTTGTTTTTGCATAAGGATGTTGAAACTTCTTTGGTTTACTTATTTATTATTAAATCTTTTTCAATATATATATATATAATTCAATCGTAAGTGAAGATTACAATTCTCGAGACCGTCGTTATCTCATGGTTGGCAATTCATTTGGTCTGGTTTTTCGGATAAAATCTTTGTTTCTCGAGAATAAAAATCTTCCTCTAAATTTCAACAACAAATAACAAAAATTCAATTCAAAAAACAAAATATATAACTATTTTCATTTCTATTATTGTTGTTATTGTCATGGTCGCCGTCGTGGTTATCATTATTATTGTCATTGTCATTGTCATTGCAGTTTTCTGGAATTTGAAGACATTCTGAAGGTTCCGAAGCTCATCGACCACCTCCGCTACCTTTCCGTCGGCACACCGGTCTCGTGCCCTGCATTGGCCTCCCCTCTTCCCCAGCCGGCTTCATAAAATAATTCCCTCCGGTCAAAGGTAAATTATAAGCGTCTTTATCTATAACATTCGTCTGGATTTTGATAATATATTTCTGAAAAAGATGTTACATTTGTCTTCATCTAAATTCATCGACAAAATTATGAGATAACCAAGGTAGCAAGTAGGATTAAATTTCATGAGTTTTGTTGTACAGGATCCTCAACACATTTTTGGAAGCCAATCATGACTGCCGAAACCACCGCCACCTCAAGCTACTGGTTGAATTGGAGGTTCTTCGTCTGTGGAGCTTTCATCTTGTTCTACTTGGTCGTGGCCACAATTTTAATTTCAAAATTCGAAGGCCGGAAAAGGTCGAATCATCGAGGTACAGGAAACCAGACGGCAAGTCCCGGGGAGGTATATAAGGAGGAAGCTTGGAATACAAGTCTCAAAAGCATTCATCCCGCTTGGCTGCTCGGGTTTCGGATGTTGGCTTTCATCACGCTCTTAACGTTGCTCGTGCTCAATGTCGCCATCGACGGATTCAGCATTTTCTTCTTTTATACTCAGTGAGTATATATCTCTACAGCTTACATATTCTGCATTGATTGTAGTTCTGTTCTACCATTGTGGACGTGCCTGATGATGTATTCTCTATATGTTCCTGAACAGGTGGACATTTACTTTGGTCACGACATACTTTATGGTATTTCTCTGATATGTTCATTTCGAAGTACGATAATTCATCGGTTTTCAATTGCTGATCTTCTCTGTTTTGATTGCAGCTTGGATGTGTAATCTCCATATACGGATGTCAAAAACACTGGGCACAAGCTCGTTGTGATACCGTCGATCGTGTAAGTTCAGATACCGAGCAGGGCGCCCATGAATCCAATGAGTCTGACCTTTCGGATGACCGCGAGATAGCCGACCGATGGATTTATGCATTTCAAATTATGTATCAAGTATGTTTTTCCTTTTTTCTAATCAGTTTCCAAAAAGTTGTGCAAAATAGCTGAACATCATCTTAACTGCCTTTGCACAGGCTTCTGCAGGTGCATCAATGCTCACTGATTTAGTATTTTGGATGATTCTGTTTCCATTTCTAAATTCGATACCGTACGGTGTCGATTTGGTAAGTACGAGTCCGTTAACTCGAATTGTCCCGAGTGTTTTTCTCTTCTGTTCAGAACTTGTGTTGATGTGCATATGACTGGATCCATTTTTTTACTGCAGATGCTTATTATCTGTATGCACTCTGTCAATGCTGCTTTCCTACTCTGTGACTCAATTTTGAATTGCATGGTGAGTTTTACTTATAATGCTCATAGTGGCATCTCATTTCGAGTATCTTTCCGATCGATTACGAAGCTGATTTTACTGTTTTCCGTCACAGCGGTTCCCATTTTTCCGAATTGCATATTTTTTCTTATGGACCAGCATCTTCGTTATATTCCAATGGCTCGTCCATGCTTATTATAACCTTTGGTATAGTTCCATATCTGTCTTACGATTTTTATCTCTGTGTTGTCAAAGGTTTTATTCTCACATTGTGGCATCCATCTCTTTGCAGGTGGCCATATCCATTCCTTGACTTGACACCGTTTTATGCTCCGTTCTGGTACACATTTTAATCTTCATGCACGACGTATGTTCTACATGTACATTCCTAACCGTGTCTCCGTTGCTATGTCGGTCTGAACAGGTACCTTGCAGTCGGAACGATGCACTTACCGGCCTATGGCGCATTTGCTTTTGTAGTTAAATTCAAAGAATTTTCTTTCTCAAGGTTGTTCCCTGACTCCTACCGGAAACTCACGTAAAATATAGGTGATCATCGGTGTAGAAATTCTGGGCTAACACCGACAGCTACTGTATTCAATTAGCTAGCAGGAAGAGTACAAAAACTTGGTGTTCATGAAATTGCAAGCTGTAGAATCCCCGTTAGGCAGTTTTATCAAATACCAGGATCTTATTTGTACAATAACTTATAGGTTCTTCGGTGATATTTACCGGAGAAATATGTGTGTGAGGCGTGTATGTTCTTCCCTCAGCTATGCCAACGTGAAATAAAATCCCCAAGGCAAGCAGGGTTTCTGTAAATTAAATCAATTAAATAGATTCTATTCATGCATCTGCACTAGATCTGCGTGTCATATCTCCGTTTTTTTTATTCTCTGTTGAAGAAATTATTATATCATACAGTGTCGTGGACAAAATTCATTTCAGGACTAGGGGTGTAAATGATTTGAGCCCAAAAGAATAAAGTTATGTTCGTGTTCATTTATTTAGTTGTAAATGTGTTTATGTTTGGTTCGTGTTCATTTAAATTTTTAATATCGTATTCGTTTGTTTATATTTGAAAGTGTTCGTGTTCATTCGTTTAATGTTCTCGAACATGTTCGTTTAATATTCGCGATCATGTTCGTTTAGGCATTTAGTGTTCACGAATATATTCGTTTATATATTCAGAAATTAAACAAAACCAACTAAATAAATCTTATATAACATCTACAACAACAATAAAATACAATCTTTAAGCTCCAAATTTCACCATATGTTCAATTTAGTCCATATATTCACCAATGTTAAAAAGTAAAAAAAAAATTAAACGAGCTTCTAAACGACTTATAAACAAACTATTAAACGAGCTTGTTAATAAACATGAATGAACAAGTTGATAAACAAGTTTGTTCATGAACGTAAAAGAACCGAACACACATCTATTCATATTCATTTATTAAATTAATATAAAACTTTTATTTAAATTTAATTATTTAACTTAACAAATAAACATATAAAAAAATGATTCACGAACTATTGCTCAGACGCTATATTCATTTATGTCCTATCTACGACACTAATGCTTAATCTTTGCTTAAACTACCTGAGCACCTAAAAGTTAGGTATACTTAATCTCAAAAAAATGTATTGTATTTCTTTAATAATTAATATAGAGTACAGATGAATTAAGCAGTTACGAAAAACTGGAAAAATACAAAAATGATGGTGTATTTATGAGATTAAGATGAGCCACAAGACGACAACAAGTATGCATGCACTATCGCTATATACACATGACTTAGTTTCTAGATTCTGCTCACGAAAACGTGAATATTGACGACAACAAGGAACAATCGTCATTAAATTACATGGTTTATAAATAATCTCCTGTCTCGCCCTCTAAAATCTCACTAAATACATTTGGTTTTAATTTCACAGATTACGATGAAGAATGAAGAAGAAGCTGAAATTCGAGGGGATGTCTTAGAATCCATCCTCTGTCACGTTCCTCTCATCAATCTCCTCCCAGCCAGCCACGTCTCCAAATCGTGGAACCACGCCGTCTTCTCCTCTCTCCGCCACTTCAACCACCCCAAACCCTGGCTTATTGTCCACTCTCGGAACTCACGCCCTCCGTACTCCGCTGCTGGCACCGTCGCCTACGACCCACGATCCAACATATGGGTTCGTCTCCACACCCGAAACCCACCCTTGGATTACGCCTCAGTTCTCCGCTCCTCCAACTCCACCCTCCTCTACGTGCTTTCTCTCTCTAAATTATCCTTCTCTTTCGACCCGCTCCACTTGACGTGGCACCACGTGGACCCACCCCTTGTTTGGCGAACCGACCCTATCGTCGCCATGGTTGGCAGCCGAATCTTTATTGCCGGCGGTACATGCGACTTCGAGGACGATCCACTCTCGGTCGAAATCTACGACGTCGACGCTCGCAGGTGGTACACGTGTGAGTCCATGCCAGCAATCCTCAGAGGCTCCGCATCTTCCACGTGGCTCTCCGTCGCAGCCAGTTCTAAAACACTGTTCGTCATGGACAAAAGTTCCGGTTCTACGTATTCTTTCGATCCCACTTCCAGGATTTGGTCGGGACCGTTCAATTTGCATCACGATCAGAACATTTTCTTTTCAGCGATTGGGTTGTCACGAGACAAGCTGACAATGGTGGGTTTACTCGGAAACTCCGAGAATGTTAGAGAGATCAAAATGTGGGAACTAAAGGGAGAATCGTTTGATGTTTGTAAAGAAATCGCGGTGATGCCGAAAGACATGGTGGAAAAGTTGAAAGGGGAACATGCAAGTTTAAATTCAATAAATATATGTTGGATGGCTGATTTTTTGTATATATACAATCCCCAAGAGCCCGAGGAATTGGTGATGTGGGAGATTTTCGGTGAAGGGCTTTGCCGGTGGAGAAGTTTAAAGAACGCGGCGGTGAATGATCGGAGTAGGGTGGCGGAGAAGATGGTGCTTACGTGCGCCGACGTGGGGTTGGGTGATCTAGGGAAAGCGGTGGGGTCAGAGAATGTGCGTTTCAGTATTCTTAGTGATGGGATTTTACAGTGATTATCTGAACAGTTTGTTTAGTACGATGTATTTATTTAATAAATACAAATTTATTAATAAATTATTATTATTTTAATTTAACTTAAATTTAAGTAAATGTTATTCCTTATTTAAATTTATAATTTTTTTTACTAATCAAACTACTCAAATGGTTAAAGATTTATTGTTGTAAATTGGATTTTGAGTTTGAATACTACGTATATAAAATATAATGTTTATTATCAAAATATTAAAAAAAATTAAACAAATATTATTTTATATTCATTCCAAATTTATTAAAAAATTTGTAAAATTTTGGATCATGACACAGAGACAATGGAACATACTTGTACTCATTTACTAGGCTGAAGTATTAGATTAATCACCATCATTTGTGTACTATATAAATTAGCCCAAACCCTCTAACCATTGGACTCTTGGATCCTACATAAGACTTCAATTTGCTTATCATAAAATGCCCAAACTATTGGACTCTTGGATCCTACATAAGACTTCAATTTGCTTATCATAAAATGCCCAAACTCAAAAGTTGATAATTGAGTACAAATCAATTTATCTCAATAATTAAATGAATTGTTATTATTTTTAAAGGTAATGAGTTCGAGTATCAGAGACTGTAATGATGATTTGATGTTCATTATTAAATGGTTGAGAATATTTAGAACAAATATTACTTTGTAATCACCTTAATTTAATAAAAAAATGATAATTAGATTTATGTATAAATTATCTTCAAATTTATACAAGATAAAATACGCGTGTTGTATGCTTTATTTACATAATTTATTTATTTCAAATTTTGAGTTAATTGAAAATTTTAACCATTTATTTTATATAAAAAATTTTAACAGTTAATTATAAAGTAATATAGATAAAATTATCGAATGACATAATATAGTTACTAGAATAGTTTAAAATTTTACATACATGAAAATATAATTATATTAATAAATCCAACAATCAAATAATTAAAATGTTCATCACATAAAAATTACAAAAATATATGAAATTACTTTAAAAATTGCACGTGACCTGTCAAGAAACTTACCTGCAAAATATAAGTATTTTTCTTTTCTGCTCATAGATATTATATTGTTCGCTTTCTCATCACAATCTCATGCATCTCTTCAGTCCAATCACCGAACTTTCAACGATCTCTAAAAAAAAAACCCAAATTTTATAAACTTTTTGCAATTCAAATAAAGTTTTCGTTTCCACTGTTTTGAAAAGAAAAGAGAAATGAAAAACGAAAACTGAAAAACAGTGTTTTCTACTACGTTGTCTGCTGCATCTGTTTATGTGTCGACCTTGGCCTTTTGTTTTGGCCTCTGTTTGTTTGGTTCTTTCTTCCTTTGTTTGATTGATTTTCATTTTTCTTTTTTGGGTTTAAAGGTAAATTAAAAAGGCGAAAGCAATAGAAAAAAAGTTTTCTGAAAGATAATGGTGGTGGAATCAGTTGTGAAGAGCAAGGAAGAGCTAGAAGCCAAGAGCAAAACTACATGGAATTTGTGGGGATCATCCAAAATGTTTAGTGATCGAATGCCAGTATTCCCAGATCTCTAGGTGTTGGATCATAAACTTGATCCATTATGGGAGCCTAAACCCAAACCCAAACTAAATTGATGTCATTACTTACATCATTTAATTAAAGAAGTCATTGCTTACATCATTTAATTAATGATGTCATTGCTTACATCAATTTAGTTAGGTGAGAGTTAGATATTTGTTGAATTTGTAATGGTTTAAATTAGTTTATTTGTGTGGTGTAGGATTGTTCTTGAGTAGTATAAATGCCCCTTCCCATTTTAGTTTTAAGCATCAAGAAAAATTAAGAGCTTCTAAGTGAGTGAAGAAGCAAAGTCTTATAAGAGTGAGTTGTAGTTCTTGTTTTTGAGTGAGAGTACTCTTGTAATATTTGTTTGAGTTTCAATAAAAGTTGTTTGTGTGAGTGTTTTATTTCCAACAAAGTGGCATCAGAGAGAGTTGGAAAGATCGAAGGTCTCGACGAGAGGAAAACGACGCCGCCAGAATTTTCTCAATCTGAGTTCTGACGCACCGCCACGCACCGTCGGAAGACTGCTGCCAGAAAATCGAGTTGACTCACCGAGTTGAGCCGAGTCAGCCGAGTTGGAGCCCTTGACCGAGTTGTCCAAGTCCCTCCAAAGTTTTTTTTTTCATCGTTCCGGATTCATCCGTGCAATCGGATTTTACAAAATCTCATTATATTGAGAGATATGGCAAATGGTATGGCACCATTCCAAGTTCCGACACTCAACAACAACAACTACGACAATTGGAGTATCAAAATGAAGGCACTTCTTGGATCACAAGATGTGTGGGATATCATAGAGAAAGGCTATAACGAGCCTGCGGATGATGATGCTTTTGCTACTCTTACACCAGATCAAAAGACAACTTTGAAGGATTCAAGAAAGAGAGACAAGAAGGCTCTCTACCTCATCTATCAAGCATTAGATGATGATGGTTTTGAAAAGATTTCAAGTGCAAGCTCTAGCAAGGAAGCGTGGGAGAAGCTGCAGACCTCTTACAAAGGATCCGAGCAAGTGAAGAAGGTTCGTCTCCAAACATTAAGAGGTGAATTCGAATCCTTAAACATGAAAGCATCTGAGTCTATTTCAGATTATTTCTCAAGAGTAGTAGCTGTTTCTAATCAATTAAAAAGAAATGGTGAAAAGTTAGACGATGTGAGGATAATAGAGAAGATACTCCGTTCGTTGGATCCCAAATTTGAGCACATCGTTGTGACGATTGAAGAAACTAAAGACTTGGAAGAAATGAAGATCGAACAGCTCCAAGGATCATTGCAAGCATACGAAGAGAAGCATAAAAAGAAGCATGAGTTTACTGACCAACTCCTCAAGCTGCAACTCAAGGATATGCATGAGAGCCAACGCAATGATAGAAACCAACGTGGCCAAGGCAGAGGTAGAGGCCATGGACGAGGTGGAAGTCGAGGTCGTGGACGAGGCTGGAATTACAACAATAACAATTCCAACAACAACTATGATAAAGGAGAAAGCTCAACACGAGGCCGTGGAAGAATTAATCCAAACTCAAAGTATGACAAATCTCAAATTCGATGTTATAATTGTCAAAAATTTGGGCATTATGCTTCAGAATGTAGAGCTCCCAACAACAAAATTGAGGAGAAGGCCAATTACGTGGAGGAAAAGACAGATGGCAAAGAAACTCTTCTTCTAGCACGAAAGGAAACTGATGGTGGCCAAGCAAATTCCTGGTATCTTGACAGTGGTGCAAGCAATCACATGTGTGGAAGGAAAGACATGTTTGTGGAGCTAGACGAGTCAGTAAGTGGAAATGTTTCGTTTGGAGATGATTCCACAATAGCAGTGAAAGGGAGAGGTAACATTCTTATCCGTTTGAAAGATGGGAGACATCAATTTATTTCAAATGTCTACTATGTGCCCATTTTAAGTTTAAGTTTAGGGCAACTGGTAGAGAAAGGTTATGATATTCATATGAATAATTATAATCTTTCTATAAAGATGATAAGAATAACTTCATTGCTAAAGTGCCGATGTCAAAGAATAGAATGTTCTTGATCAACATACAAATGATGTTGCAAAGTGCCTGAAAGCTTGCTACAAAGATGCATCATGGCTTTGGCATCTTCGATTTGGGCATCTCAATTTTGGAGGTCTAGAGCTATTATCTAAGAAAGAGATGGTGAAAGGACTACCTCACATCAACCATCCTGACCAGCTCTGTGAAGGGTGTCTAGTCGGGAAACAATTCAGGAAAAGCTTTCCAAAGGAGTCAGAGACAAGAGCTAAGAAGCCACTTGAGCTCATTCATACCGATGTGTGTGGACCGATCAAGCCAAGCTCTCTCGGTAACAATAACTATTTTCTTCTCTTCATTGATGATTTTTCAAGAAAAACCTGGGTATATTTCTTGAAACAGAAGTCAGAAGTTTTTGAAGTCTTCAAGAAGTTCAAAGCAGCAGTGGAGAGAGAAAGCGGTAGAAAGATCAAAGCCATGAGATCCGATCGAGGTGGAGAATTTACTTCCAAGGAGTTTCAAGAGTTCTGTGAAGCAAATGGAATTCGTCGACCAATGACAGTTCCTAGATCCCCCCAGCAAAATGGTGTGGCAGAAAGAAAGAATAGAACAATTCTTGACATGGCACGAAGCATGCTCAAAAGCAAGAAACTACCCAAAGAATTTTGGGCGGAAGCAGTATCGTGTGCAGTCTACTTGTCAAATCGATCTCCAACAAGAAGTGTATGGGGAAAGACACCGCAAGAGGCATGGAGTGGAAGAAAGCCTGGCATTTCCCACTTGAGAACCTTTGGAAGTATAGCCCATGTTCACGTACCAGACGAGAGAAGAACGAAGCTTGATGATAAAAGCGAGAGTTTTATCTTCATCGGCTATGATGCTAATTCGAAGGGCTACAAGTTGTACAATCCAGACAATAAGAAGTTTGTGATTAGTCGAGATGTGGTCTTCAACGAAGAAGGAGAATGGGATTTTAACTCTCATACAGATGACTTCAATTTCTTTCCTCAGTTTGAAGAAGATGAGCAGATAATGAGGGAGCAACTAGATGAATCTCAACAAGAGCTTGCAACTCCACCCACTTCACCAACATCAACCACTCAAGGAGACTCATCACCTTCATCATCGTCAAGTGGGAGTCAAAGTGAAAGAGTTGTGCAACGCACAAGAAGCCTTAGAGATCTCTATGAGGTAACTGAACGACAAGATAATCTTACATTATTTTGTCTGTTTGCCGATTGTGAACCAGTGAGCTTTCAAGAAGCGGTACAAGAAAAGAAATGGAGAGATGCGATGGACGAAGAAATCAAGGCCATCGAGAAGAATGACACATGGGAACTTACCTCACTTCCCAAGGGACATAAGGCGATAGGTGTCAAATGGGTGTACAAAACAAAGCAAAACGCCAAAGGAGAGATTGAAAGGCACAAGGCGAGGCTAGTTGCTAAAGGCTATAGTCAAAAGGCTGGAATTGACTATGATGAG